GGGGAGGCCCGTGTCCCTGCGCTGCCCCCGCCGGCCGCCGCCTTGTTTACTTCCTCAGCCCTTGGCAGCCGTGGGCGGATAATCCCTTTCCCTCTTTTCCCTGAAGAAGACTCACGGAGTTGGGGGAATCGGGTAATGAACTGAGCTCCAAGCTCTGTTTAGTCCCCGACCTCTGGCACGCCTTTGTACTTTCTGACACCAGATTTCCAACGTGGGAGCGATCAAGTTCCCTCTGAAGGGAGCTGCAGGCCCAGCTGGCAGCTACAGCAAAAACTAATGGACTCAGGAGTCAAAAGATTGTCCCTGCTCCTGGGTGGAGCCCTAGAGGGACGGATTCGTAAAGCCCAGTGCTCCCCAGCCAAACGGTGGTGGGGAGTAATGCCCTGCCAAGCAGCAGAGTCCTGCAGCTCTCCCACTGTGGTACTCAGGCCTCCACCTCACACCCAGCCCCACCAGAAGCTCCTGTTTTGCAAGAGGACTCCCCAGGGGGAACTTCCCCTCTGGTCTGCCTAGCTCCCAGAGCCAGGAGTGGGGAGACCTCTCCCCACCTGCATCAGAGCTGTAGATGTTCATCCCTGCAGCCCTCGTGCCCTTGGGCGTGGAGACCCTGGGGTCTCACCGCATGGGTCACACCAACAAGCCTGGGAGGAGGAACCAGTCCTGCAGCAGGAACGCACAACTCTGGCCAAAACACGCTGTTCCCTGTAAAAAAGTGATCATGTGGAAAACAGCAGCTAACGAAGAAGCCTGTCTTCTGCACCAAGAGAATGGATAAAACAGACCCTATGCTTGGGTGAAGCAATTGTTTTTGTTGTAAAATCTCCCTCATAACATCTCCTAAGTGAAAACCAAGCCCAAAGCATGTGGAGGCTGTTGGAAACAAGAACTCTTTCCACACACTACAGTTCCTGGGTGGGAAGTACCAAAGGAGGACTCTGAGGCAGGCAGAAGACACAAACATTCCAGGGTTGGGTGCGCTACCTTGCCACCTCATTTTCCATGGATCTGGGTCTGCTGTAAAAGTGTTTGCACCTATCCAAAGCCTGGCACGGTGCTAAGAACAGACACCTCAGCAGGGTATGCGGGTGCCTGCACTGAGCAGGGTTCAATGCCACCTGGAAACTCTCTTAAGGACACGCTGCTGACAGAGAGCTGCTGAATCCAGCAAGGACAGGGCTACAGAAGGTGTAGCAGCAGCTCCCAAATTTGGCAGCTATGAGCTTCAATAGAGTAGGGATGCCATGAAGCCTTCATCCTACCTGCATCCATTTTCCAAGGCCCTCAGCCCAGTTTTAAAGCCAGGCTTTGCCTCTAGCAAGCAACTGCAGAACCCGCTTCTCTTGCTCTGAAGTCCTGATGTGCTCCTGCGGCACCGGGGTCCTTCTGTGGGCGGCAGCAGCAGCAGCAGCGGCAAGATAGGCTGGGAGGGGAAGCCAGAGGTACTGGCAGGACTCTCCCAGCAGCAGTAGAGCCTGCCCTAGCAGGCAGGCCAGAGCAGGCACAGCACAGCCATTGCACAGTCTCATAGTGGCGTTAACTCACTTTCCAGCTGGCAGGACAAGGTACCTCATAGCTCAGTGAGACCTGCAGCCCCCCTGAAATCAGACACAGTCCCTCTTCATCCACCTTCTTGTTCCCTTGCAGATGGAGAGTAGCCAAAGGCATAGGCAGGATGATTTTTGTCCCCTCCACTGGGTGCAGGATCTTAAAACCAGGCTACACTTCAGGGAGAAAATCTCAGCTTGGCTTTCTGGTTCCCACCTGGAGAGACCAGGGCCCACAGAAGGGAAGAGACTTATTTATATTCCAGCTGGGCAAGCAGAGCTCGTAATCACATGCGACCTTGCAGCCTGCTGTGCTCACTTTTAATCCCCCTCTCTGCATGGAGCACTGAGAGTGCTCCTGAGAGAGAGCTCCTGAGTGCTCCTGCATTTCCACTCAGGTGGAAACAGTGTACAAGGTCCTGGGGGCAGGTTCAGAAGAGGAAGCTGGGATGTGGCACTGCGAATGCTCTGGGGCACCATTTTCCCTCTTCAACATTGCTTCAGGCACACACTAAGCAGCACAACGCTTCTGGAGACAGCAAAGAGACAGCCAGGAGAGCCTGATCTTGGCTCAGCTGAAGTCCCAGGCTCAGGGCTGGAAGGAACAAGGGTCCCAAAAATAACGGGCAGACAGAAATGCCACTGACACCTGAGACCAAGGATGGAGACAGCCAAAATGCACCAGTCTCTCTTGTGGATGGAGGAGCTCAGCTCCTGTTTAGTCCAGCACAGGGGCCCCTACACATCCCCAAGCACCCCAGTTTGTCTGGGAACAGCCCTCACCCCACCAGATCACAGGGAAGCAAAATGTGCTGGCATTTGGGACTGCAACCACTACATCAAAGTGAAGGACTCTGAACATGAAGTGGGCTTGTTCACCCTGGACTGGTTTCAGGGGAGTTGCTGTCTTCCTGCTGCATCTCTTGTGTCATTGGGCTAATAGCTGGGCTTTACACACATTTCTTGCTTCTGGTGAAGAAAACACTAAAACAGCCCTTTCCTGGGGACTCCTGGCAGCAGAGAGCCCTGAATGTCCTCCAGAACTCTATAGAGACATGCAGGAACTCCAGATGTACAGTCAAAAATAGGTTTACTGGAATGTCTTTAGTCACAGCTGTAAGCAGCAATACTGACAACACTGAGCTTGTGCATTCCCATGGCAGGACCAAAAAGTCTTCAGGATTGTGAAACCTAATTATTTTTTTTTCCTCCCCCCCCACCCTTTTCTTTTTATTTGAACAAGAGAGAAACAACACCCTTGCAGTTCTCCACAGAAGGGTCAGTTCCCTATAACATAATGCATGTTTCTCTTTAGAGATTTTTCCCCTCCTTTGCTCTGATCAAAGGACAGAGACCCCTCTGCCTTCCACAGCAGGCAGCGGGGAACTGCTGAGACGATATTATTATTAATATTACAATTCAACCATATGTACAGATAAACCATAGTGGCAAGTAGCCAGCTCCAAACCAGAGACCCAGAATGCCACAGAACAGGTGGCTGGGGAACTGAATCTTCTGTTATTAAAAATGTCTGACAGCAGGAGCAGGTACTTGACCAAAAGAAAAAAAAAATAAGAGGTCTCTTGGCAGTTCTTAAAATGCTCTGTTAGAACTGGCTACTTGCCACCACCTCCTCGCTCCTTGGAGAAAAACAACTTCAAAGATATATACAGATATCTCACTTAAATTACACAGCAGTTTGGTTATCCCAGAGCCAGCTCCACCGAAGCCTCCAGCTGCCTTGTCAGGTGTGGTACTTCAGGACTATGGGTACTGGAAAACACAAAGACACAAGCTCTCAGCTGCACACCTTTGCGTGCAACACCTATCCCCACCAGAGCGATCCCCCCCTGTTTCTGCAGTGACAAACACCAAGCAGCTGCAAGGGAAAGTGTTTCCAAGCTCAAGCGAATGCAATCGGCTGCCCGCACACACGCTAGACAACACTTCCTGCCTCCTTCATCTCCTTCCAGCTTCTCAAAATTAAACCAGATGGGATTTTCCATCAGTCTCTCTCTCTCGCCAATGTTCCCACCCTGCTGCCAGCTCTGCCCCTCCCGCTGCAAGCTGTGTCCCCGCAGGACAACAGGCCGTGAGGGTTTTGCCAAAGTAATGAGAACTGTTACAGAGCCGTCCCTGGCCGTGGTCAACCCTCCAGACACAGTGGCATGGAGGAGCTGCACTGCTGTACTGGTCTGCTTGGATGCCTGGAACACATCACTCTGCAGGCAGAGGGCTGAATTACTTCTCCTGGCTGGAAGAAACATGCTCTGGTCATTATTACCTGTTTGGTAGGAAAAGCAGTGACATCTCTGCTCTGGGAAGCTCCAGAAAGACCAGGAAGGCCAGAGGGCAGGGGAAAGGACCAATGGCAAAGGGAAGAGCATTTGCAGGGATCAGACCCACTGCAGGATGGTTGATCTATGTGGAGAGGCCTTTGGGAGACATTGCTCCAGCCTGAAACTCTTTCACATACTCCCACTCGCCTCAGGATCAGTCGCTGCCAACCCTGGATCAGTACAACGTTATCAGGACAATGTTGGCTTTCTTTGGCAACAGTCAGTGGGACTCGGGTTGAGCCTGCTCCTTCTGTACACACGTTTAAACTTTGTAGAACAAGGGCATGGTGTGGGCTACAGGCACCACTTATGATAGGTTAAGGCAGAGCGGGGCTCAAGGGAGTGGCTGAGGTGCTCTTCCCCAGGGACACCAGCAGCAGGGTGTCACTCCCAGTCTGGAGTTCCATGAATATTTCAGTGCCACGCATGGCTGGCGTGACCTGGAGCTACTCACCAATGATCACAAGCAGGAGGATGACTGCCACCAGTGCTATGATTGCCTTCATCTGCAAGAGGAGCACAGAGGCACGTTACATGGGATGCTGGAAGGAGGCCTTTGCCTTCTAGCATCTTTTCAGCTAGAAAGCAGAGCTTCTCCAACTCCTCTCAGGGGAGGGCAGGTATCTACCCCTCCACAAACCCACTCCTGTCTGTTCCTGTTCTTGCTCACCTTGCAGCCTCGCCACCACATCTGTCTCCGAAGCTGCTTGGCTCTGTTGCTAAAAGCTGTTGCATTGTCTGATAAACTTTCTGTTGAAGGAAAGAAAAGAAGAGATTCAGCAGCATGGACACAGTCAGATCTTCCACTTGTTCTACTAACTCCACTGAGTTTTAAACTCTGCATTAGGGGAAAAGACCCAACCACAGCGTGGTTCACCAAAGCCACAGCAGATGCCAATGTGACGCCTTTCAGCAGAGCACACACAGACCTGAGAGTCCCACTGAGCCCCCTTTGTACTGGGTGCCCCCTGAGGACAGGAATTCACTCCGCAAGCCAGCAAGAGAGGGGACAGCTGAAGTGCTCAGGGCTCTTGGGAGACAGAGCAATCTACCTTAGCTTGAAGGACCAACTAGATCCCAGCACCCATGCCCTTAGGTCACAGCACCCAAGTGCCTCCAAACTAATGCCTCTGTGCAGAGCAGCAGAAGGCAAAGGTGGAAAGAGGAGAAAGCCAACAGAAAGTCAGATCTGCAGCCCAAGACTGAGAAACACCACTCCAAAGGACAGAAATATAAGCCCAGGTCTGTCATGAGACACTTTCTGAACTGAAACCAGGTCACCTGGCCCAGCAACAGGGAAGAGATACTGGGTAAAGGCCAGCAGAGCTGCATTTAGCATCGCACCTGATTTATCCTGCAGGTCATCCAGCCGCTCGCCTCTTTCAATCACCTTCGTGATGTTCTCCTGCATAACATCGATGACTTCGTCCACCTGGTTCTGGACACTAGAGCAGAGCAAAGGCAGCATGAGGAACAGAAGCAAGCACCACTGGCTGCATTGTAGCACCAGCCCTTTCTCAGAGTTGCCCACCAGCAAAACTCGAAGGGGACAACTGTGGAGGGAGGTTGATGGGATGCAGAGAAAGCCAAAGGCACAGCATCAGCTGGGGTGGGTCTCTGACAATCCCAGGGGGGGCAAGGGAATGCAAGGGGCTCAAAGAGAGCACTGGGAAGTCAGCAGAAGCAGGACACCCTCTGTAACACCTTTAACACACAAATGCAGTAAGAGCAGGTGCTGATTGCTGTTGGTGGGCGCCTCTGCTGCAGGAGAGTTCACATCAAAGGAAAGAAATAAAAACCCCTACCTTATCTTCCTAGATTTCATAGAACCTCACACTGCACTTATGCTAAATAACTTGGGGTGAAATCAAAGCAAGATGCTCTCCCTCCTCCGGGAACTGAGTTGCTATTTGAAACCCACTCTGCCAGGGGCATCAAAAGGACAGTAAAGAAATGTCTGATGTGAACTAAACCACGTTATTATAATCCATCTTTTTGCAGGTTACGCAACTCTGTGGGTAGTTGCTTCAGCGAACAGTAGCCTAAATCACACCCTCAGGGTTATTATAAATGCATTTATTCACTCCATAAAAAAGCCACATTGGTAAGAGAGAAAAATTCTCCTGGTGGAAAAGTACTGCTACACTCTGGTCTGTTTTGGAGCTAATACATTTTTATTTTCCTGGAGATAGAAATAAGAAATTTCTTGGGGCCCTGGGGAGACAATTCATTGTTTGAGACATACCGTTCCCAGAAAGTAAACGGCAACAGCAAAGTCTTGGAGGCAACGCTACACACAGAGCAACAAAACAGAAATAGCTCCAGGCCACTCACTCTGCATAAGTCTTAGCTTTGACAACTTAGGTTGCATTGATTAAAGACATTTAGGGACTTTTAAACATATCGAAGTGCATCCAGCATTTCCCAAATATGCAGCACGAATAGGCCCCTTCAGCAGCTCTCCATGTTACCAGAAACACACACCTCCAATTAACAGTGTGGCACTGGTGTCCCCCAGGGGAAGAAGGATCGCCACCACCTCATCATTTGCACCTGCTTAGCACCCACACTCTCCTAGTCCCCAAATTATCCAGTCACATCCTCTTTGGACCCACGGAAAACCCTCTCCTCCACACTGGCATCTGACAGATGCAGAAGCTCAAAGACATTATTTGCCAAATCACAGTTTTTATTTCAGCACCAGACCCAGCTCCACCACTCAGAGCCATCGCCCAGCACCTCAGCTCAGAGCACTTGGTACGAGGCCAGCACACCCTCCACCAGGGCCAAGGGAGACCCAGAGCATCTTGCCCAAGGTCAGTCAAATGACTGCAGAACAAGGAACAGGGCCCTGTCCTAGCCCCCATGCCTCTAATTAATTAGAGACATAGGTTCACATTGACCTATTTCTCCTGTCTCCCTACCAGCTACTTGTCTCTTGCCAAGCAGACACTTGCTCTGAGACGGACAAGTGAGCAGTGGCTGCAACAAGGAATAGTCGTTGTAATGGAAAGGTGCATGTCTTGCTCCCATTTACTGATTGTTCCAAAAACAGACAAGGAAAGTCACTAAAAGAAAAGGCTTTTTTTCTCCTCAAAAAGCTCTAGAAATTCCTCCAGATCTTTGAATAGGAAGGGGTTCCCCATCTTAGCATTTCAGGTCGGGCTCTGTAGCACCACTGCACTGCGGCTTCCAGAGCTGGAACAGGCAGGCAACCCTTCTGCAGCCAATGTCTGACTCAACAACCCCCGTATGGCACACACTGGACTCCAGCAGCGCACGTAAGAAACTTGCTTTATTTAGGATACTGCAAGAAAGGAACCTGCTTTCCCTGCGCTGCATCGCAGAGTCTGTGACAGCGGCACCTCTCTACATCCACCTACACCGTGTGGTGGCAGCTCCTGCCTTCCACATCGATGGCAGCCGCCTCCCATGCCCATAACCCTGCTTTGATCTACCATTTGTTCTACAAGCTGTGAGGTGAGAGGCAGAGCTGCCACTGCTGGGGAAAGTGCAGATGCCGCTTGGAAAATGTGCGGTGGTGACCTGTGGAGCGAAGTGTCTGCCCCACACAGGACACGTGCAGCCCCATGGCTCTTCCTTGGGGCAGCGGGTGAGGACGTGGGAAGGAGGCACGCTCTGCAAGGGGGTTTCCTTGCTTCAGCACAACAGACGAGTTCCAGCTCTGAGCTACCAGCAACACCGCTATAGGTTGGGGCGAGAGAGGAAAAGCAGAAACATCTGCTATCCCAGACGAGCCAACTTGGCAAAAAGTTATGCCTTAAACATCAATTTCAGAGGCAGAAAACTATGTTTGCAGTATGTAAATGTTTCTAAAATAATTTACTGGCTTCAACATAAAGAGATTTCCTCCCACGACAGATTACTTTGAGTTACCTTGCTACAGCTTACAAGCAGGAGCATGAAAGACTACAACGCATCTACGACTGTGCAGTGAAATGGGATGCCACCTGTATCTCCACCAGGACAGGTCAGAGCCTGGAGAGATGCTGGTGCACCCTGAAGTGTTTGAGGCAGAGGGGACAGGGAGACACAGACACCCACTGCCCACCTTGCATCTCAGCTTCCCACCTCTTTCACTTGAGCTGCTGGTGAAATGCTGCATGTCTCTGCTACTTGCCCATATCCTGGGCATGCTGTTAGCTGTCCCCAGGAGAACAAAACGTTTCACAGACAAATCAAGGCTTAAACTCTCAGAAATGCTGAGGTGTCTAACTCCCGTGGAGCACATTTGAGCACCCCAATGCCTTCTGGTATCTGATGTAAAACAGAACCCTGGGAAAAAAAACAAACAAATAAACAAACAAAACCCAAAAAAGAAAGGAAGAGACCAAGCCAGAGAATGAAACTTTGATCTCCACACAGTGCCTTAACCAGACCTTAAGCCAGTCCTTGCTTTCTGCTCTCTCTCACCCATCACTGCTGCAAGAGACGCCTCTCCAGGAAGGGGCTGAAAGATAAACCAGCCTCTGCATTAGCCCTGCAGTTTCAGAGCAAATTCAATGATTCCCACTAGGTTAGCGAGCTTGAGCTTGGAAATTCAAGTCACATAAAGAAGAAAATATTTTCTTGTTTTATTTGGCAAGAGAGAATGAATCCTCTAATATGAAGCATATTTCCTGTTAGGGAGCTATTGGCTTTTGACACATACATTTCATGTGCTTCAATCCTGCCAGATTTCCAAGAGAAATGAAGTAGAGTAAATACCTGCCAGGAAAGGGAGAAAGACAAAAGCATAAAATACGTCTCACACGACCCTTCTTCTTACTAATTACTGCAAATATGATGCTTTTAACAAAGAGAGCAAGTGCATAACCATTAAAGCAGCAACAACAGACCAAATGGCGCTTAGCTTGGTTTAGACTCATCTTCCCTGTGCTTTGCCTGGTCCAGAGTAGAAGGAATAAGCCTCTCCATTTCGGCTGCACCAGGTTAGCTACTGAAAAATTCCCTGGGCTGGTCACGGTGTTGGGCTAACAACAGTGCTGCATTCTTCAGACGCTGTAAACAGGCCGTGCGTGCACTGTGGGATGTGCAGCTCAAGGCTGCTTCTTGTCTCCAAGTTGGCTGTTTACAGCCAGCATGACACACTTGTATTTTCCACCCCAGTGATATTAATAGCGCTGTGTATTTTGGTGCAAATTACACCCAAACACCCCTCACTGTGGCAGTAACCCAGGGAATAGGGAACAGGACAGAGAGCCAAGCCGGATAGATGGTGGAAAGGCAGGAGGCCAGTGCAGCTCACCCCAAGGCACGGCTCTCTGCAGAGGAGCTGCCCAACAGACAGCTCTGCTGTACTCAACAACGGGAGATCAGCACTGAACTGTGCCACAAATCCCTGTCTTTAAGTTGCTGCTTCATCACAACAGTGAGGAAGACAGCAGCCCATGTCACCCTGAAGCCTTTCAGTCCTTGAAACAACAATGCCTAAAAATATGGTCGCAGTATCATCTTCAAATGAAAGCCTAGGCTACGGCTGTGGTCCACTACACATCCAGTCACCTGTGATGAGCAGGAGGCCTGGGAAACTACTGTCACCTCTTGCCTTCAAACCATTCCCCAGATTCTCCCTCTCCTCAGGACATAACTTGGGGCTTGCAGCCAGACGGAGCCACTATGGCTGGGGATGCTGTCCATGCCCAGCAGCACAATGAGGGAATCACAGGGACCAAGACTCGGCTTCTGGAGAACCCCAGCACTGTGCTGAGCCTCATGGCCCGCATATGCAGGAAGCCAAATTCAGCAGCACAGTCACCTGAAAGTGGAAACATCAGTGGTGAAGGAAGTCAAGCAGTGCAGAAAAGAGGGCAGACTCTGGTAATATTTTTCAAAAGATTACCTGTGATGAAAGGCTCCAAGTCTAAATAAAAGAAACCTAGGTGAAAGATGAATGTCCCACCTTCCCCCAAAAAGGCACTAAGAGCTCTCACTACACAGCTTCAGGACTTCTCACAAGGCCTGGAAGCAAAGGCAGAGAAGAGAGATCAGCTCTCCCTTACCTGTTCTTTGTAACTTCAAGAAAAAGGATAAAAGCCTGTTAAAAGTGACCTTT